GAGACTTCAAGAGACTTCATGAGAATTCATAAAACTTCAAGAGACTTTAAGAGACTTCAGAAGACTTCAAAAGACTTTCAAGACTTCACGGGACTTCACGGCTGAAGTCTCCGCTGTTTCCCCCTTGGGGGTCCCCTTAAGCTCTATTTCTTGCTCAAATATGAAACGAAAATATTCACATTTGGACACTTTACTTTGGCAATGAGACTTTTGACGACTGCTGTATTTATCATATACTTTGTAAATTTTTCTTTTCAAAAGCTAAATACGCATATTTCTCTTTTCTTATATAAATACAAAAGAAATAATCAAATATTATTGTATCAAACTTTAATTCACTTATAATTTCAAGTGTTGAAATTAAACAAGAAGAAAAAACTAAATTGATCATTTATATAATGTATTTAAAAGAAAAATGAAACAGTACATCATTTAAACAAACATGTATCACTAGGGTTGCCACGTACGATTATTTGGTGATTGAACAAGTGGTGGTTTTTTATGGTGACTTAAAAGTTCATTATTACAATTAATACATAAATGTGAAAAGAAATCTTGTCTTTGATAATTTGTTGTTAAGATCACTCGTGGTTCTTTCAGACAACGTGTGCATATACGATCATAATTTTCTGAACTAGTTCTTGGACGTACAACAGTTTTCCGTTGAGCTTTTTGCGGGGTTATTGTATTCACAATTGGTGGTGCTGGAGAACTACTATAATTAGCGGATGTCGATGGATGACCTTCAATAGTATATACTGTTACTAGACGGTTAAGATTATATTGTGAAAATGATTGAACTATGCTATTTGAACGTTTTATTGGACTTGTAACTGCTTCATGTCTTACAAATGTATGTTGATCAGATTTATAAATAGTTCCTTGATCGATATTAATTCTTCGATAAATAATATAAGTTAATATATATAATGAACAAAATAAAATAAATAATGCAGCACAAAGCATTTGTATACTTTGAAAAATTCTTTTAGCAGTCATATTAGTTTGAAAGTAACTGGGCCATGATATATAAAGTGGCCAACCGGTTATTGTTGCATTATATGTTGAATTAACTTGGTATATAACTTGAGCGTTACCACAGTTTAAAAAGAAACATCGAGTAGGATCAATAAGAACAAGAATATCATAAACAATTAATAGTATACATAATATGATCATAATATAACATAAAATTATAGCAATACGAAGAAGTATTAAACGTGGTTTACAGGCTAAAAAAGAAAGATCATATACAAAAACTTGTAAGCTAAAAATATGCTTAGTGTTCAAAATTTTAGTTCATCGAAAATGATTCCGCAATTTCATATCTAGATCAAGGAAGTACGATCCGAAATGAATAAATAATCCCTTGCTTACTATCTTCATTTATATGCGAGCGAAATATTATCTCATATTAATTGCAATTACACATAATGCAATTCTTTTATCATAAATTTATTATTTGCTGTACTATATTACACATTTAATGATTATTCTATCATGAGATTGTAAATCGCATTATTCTATGACAATTTAAAACAAAAAATATAATAACATTTATCTAATGTTGATAATTGATTTTTACACTTCATTTTTTCTCGTTATTTACAGTTTATATTAAATACAAAACTTAAATGCTCTCAATAGGAATACAAATGTATTTACTCGCATTTCTTTGTGTTCCATGCTTATAATGTCATTACATCTATACTTTCAATCTTTTTATGTGCAAGTAGTTCCTTGCTTGAAGCATAAATAGTATTGGAAAACGATATCTGTAAATGATCTTTTTGATGTGTTAATGATCTTACTTTCTAATATTTATGCATGCCGAAAGAAAAGAATAAAGATTGCCTAACTAACAGGGGCATGTATTGATTCTTTCGAAATGAAATATTTAAACTTACCAGTAATAAGAACAAAAATAGAACAGATCAATAGAGGTATAAGAATTATGAAGCCTCCAAATGCAGTTGATCGATATAGATCGTAAATTGTATGTCCAATCTCCATACCAGCTATGCATATGCAAAGGAAAATAAGTATTATTCCAAGAACAATTACCCAAATACGAGGCCCTTTTAGATGCAATCCGTATTTGTTAAAAGTAGCTGTTTTAGTGGATATGTCGGATTGAGACGGCATTGTACTCAACTGGATTTAAAATGAATTTTATCGATGTTTGTTTCTTTTTCGTTTTTTTTCCTGTCTCTTTTCACACGAAAAAAACAAACATAAATTTTCAATCGTTGATTTTATTCTATTTTTAATGCGTTTTAAGCAAGAGAAAGATAAGCATATTTTAAATTTTCTTTAAATAAAATAAACATAATAAAAGAAAGTGAGTGAAGAATGGTTGTCATCTTGCTCATAACGTTTTTTTGACGCTGCACATTTTATTAAAACGTATTTAAATAGATTGTTAAGGTTACTATTGACGGCAATGGTAACAAAAAAAATCGATCCTTTTTTTGCCCATATCATTGCTTATTAGTTGACACATCACTTTGAATAGAGGGAATGATTATTTAAATTATTCAATTCAATAAAATTCTATGGTTGCTTTTTCTAGAAGAGTACTTATTAAAGATAACGGTTCAGACTTAGTAATTTTTCCTCTGTTTTGTTTTTCAAAACATCGACCATAAAAAGTTCTTTTACTGCTATCAAATGCTGTGAAGAAACATACATCAGATTATTCTATTCAGGGCTTTTATACAGAACTGCTCTATATGAATGGTTCTTATCTCTTTTAATGACTACTTGACTTTGGCTAAGGCAGGGAAAATTGACGCTTTTCAGAATCGAAACCACAAATACGAATGGTTTTCGCGATTGAAATTGTTTATTCTTAGTTATTGTATTTAGAGTTGTTTTAAGGCTCTGAAAACTTTTGAAAGGTCTCCTGGAAATGCTATCTATAACTAGGAGAGAATGCTTTCTTAAATCTAATGAACTAATGTAGACTTCAAATAGTTTTACATAATTAAAAGTAGTTTATTTAGTGAACATTATGTTTCTATATATCAATAATACTCGATGGCAATCATAGAGGAAGAATTCATAGTTGACTGTGAATCAATATTAAGCATTATCAGTGGTCAGATGCTTGTACTGACTCTGGTTCTTTCTGAAACGCAACCAGGTCGCATTTTGTTAAGTATGTCATTAGTATAGATTTGAGACAACATTAATTTTTTTTTTTCGAATTGTCATCATTTTGTCAACAAATAGAATTCGATTTTTTATCAATTCTAATCCCAAGAGAAAATTACAATCGAATGTGTTCTTCTCATGTTTAGCAATAATAAATAACCTTTAAATCAATAAACGTATTCGATTGTTTATTTCATCAAGCATATTTATGAACTTAGTATCCATTAGAATCTAGTAGAATTTAACGAAAGTTAACAATAAGAAGACAACTTCGACTTTACAATTGAAGATATCATGATCTTGATGGATTTTACACGATTTCTTGCTGAGAGTAGTACAAAAGTGTCAAATAATGCGTGTTGATATTCGCAGTTTCTCGATTCCCATAATCATTATATCCACCATTGTTTTTTGCTGATTTTTCTAAAGATAACAGAAAACGTGTCCAATAAACGTTGCTAGATTTCAGTAACGGTCAGCAAATTAAAACAGATTTAATTAAAAAATATGTTATTTTTGGCACCAGTCTTCTAACATCACACGTTCATGAGTCTTCGTCATCATCAAGTAAATCAGCGGCCATGGCAGGATCTTCATTTTCGTCCTTCCAATCGTCAATTGTTTTCTGATCTACTTGAGTTTCCAGAGGCTAAAAACATTAATGAAAAGAACGCGCTTAAAGAAGTAATACGTCATACGGAAATTACTATAGGTGAGCTAAACAATAAGTAGACATTTGACTGATGATGATTCTCTGATAATATGAAATGCATATTAAGGTTATCGATGAATATATTATACTGCTATTTGAAAGATTTAAAACGAACTAATGAAAAATGAAACATAAATTTTCATTAATACTTTTTCGGACTTTTTGTCGCAGACTATTAGATTGTCCAGTATGATTCCAGTCCAGTCATAAGAGCGCTCGGTTCCAATTACTCTTCGACAATAACTGGACAGACGATTCTGGCAAATGGTCAGATTTGGAAGTTAGAACACAATACTCATATTTTCAATCCATCATGCTCAGCTCTTGTCAGGTTCCCCTCGGACACAGAAAAAGCCGGTCATTGAATCAAGACATCGTAGTTCTATTTCCAAGATTAGACCATTTTTCACAAGCTTTCCGATTGAAACCTTTTTCGCATATACCTGTAATACAGCGTGGGTGGATTTTGTAAATGTGTTCATCCATTTTCAATTCAGAATTCAATATTCTTCGAAAACTACAGTATTTCCTCACTACTATTCTTAACTCATCGTTATTAGTTTCTACAACATCTATTGGTGACGCGTAAATATATCCTTTAATAAGACCTTCTAGCATTTTGTGCGTGAGACGAGTTTTTTGCAGCAAATACTTCGTGTGAATTCGTCTGTAGACAAGAAAAGAAATCATCTAATGAAACATTTTTCACTTTCCATATGCCATTGTCAAAATGATACTTCCAATTTTCTTTCTAAAAATATGTATATTTGTTTATGGTGCTGTATGTAGTCTCAAATGTCTCTCGCTAGATGAAGTAACTTTTGTAAAATTTGAATACGGGACCTTTTTCCGTTATGGAAAAGAAGGCGATTAATTTTCATTTCATTATATCCGTGTTTTGGCAATGTCATATGCCTTCTTATTATCGTCACTTTTTCATTCTTATTCAACGACATATATACTTGATTCATCTGCAACCTTAATCCAGAATTCTATAGCATCATAGTAGTTTCGGCAGTCAATTGAATATTCACTGACTATTTACTAGCTCACTTGTAATAACGTCGGTACGACATAAAGAAGCGAAAAAAAGCATACCATAATTGGAATCTCGGCAACGAAATGTAAATCGTAGTTTCCAACCAATTTTCGAACTAATCAGAGAAACGGTTTTTCAAAATTGTAATTCGATCGTGCACTGATATCGTAGTATTGTATATTGTTTTGGCGATGAACAACAATTGCTCTAGCCTTTACTTTACGATCTGCGATATCAACCTTGTTGCCACAGAGTACGATGGGAATATTCTCACAGGCACGAACGAAATCTTTGTGCCAATTGGACACATTACGATAAGTAATACGTGACGTGGCATCAAACATAATAATGGCACATTGCCATCGATAAGACTTGAAAAGAAAATCTATTTTAAATCCATCCAGTCATCCTTTTTTTTGCTTTTACCGTCAAATTTTTCTTGACCAGCTGTGTCCCAAACAGTACAAATAATCTTACCAAAATTGGTATGAACTGAATCAGTCAAGATACGATGAAATGTAAGCATACATTATATGCAATATCACTCGTTCTAGTAAGACTTCAACTGATTTATCTATCAAGACTAGCCAATAGTCAGACGTCTAAGATAGACAGAAGGGAAGAATTCGTCTTTTCTTTTACTCTGATCTTCACTTCTATGGAAAGGAATGGAGAGAGAGAGAGAGAGAAAGTTTGGCATTTTTTGATTATCTCGATAGTCATCATAGTATATCGAGTGAAACGAATATTTTGCAACAGTTTCTTTTTTCTCCTGAATATGTCTCAATTTGCATCAACGATAGAGTGTTGATTTTAATTTCAAAAGATACAGAATTTAACTTTCTATTGAAGCTTGATCATTTTATCCGTATCAAAAGATGTGGATGTGAATGTAATTCTTCTCTTTACCCACACACACATACTCTCATGAAAAGAATACTAAGCTTGGTTATGATTATGTGTGGATTTTTTGGAAGAAAATATGATTGACACACAGATATCTACATTCATACTCCGCATACCATACTATGTAACGATGAGTAAAAAGCTGATGATGTGCTTAGATCAAAGTAAGTTTTTGCTGAAAAAGAAAGCGCACGTTACGATATCAACTATTTTTTATCAAATATGCAAGTGACTCGTGCGGGTGTGAAAAAACACCAGAAACGATTATAAAAACAAGAAGCATCGTTTTAGAATATTAGTTTTCTTTCAATCCCGAAATCGTCTGGTATGAGCAAGACAAAAATTAGGTTTGCATTCAAGTGATTAGTGGTTAGCTGTTTATCAACGAGTTTCCATTAGGTGATTTGCAGAGTTAACTTTGCTTGATGTCTAAAAAAAGAAGAATATTGGCGAGTTTTTTGTACAATTTGCCTTTAATATATCGTTGCTACCAGAGAGTCTACCATAGCAATAGATATGGTATCAGGTGCCATTGGTAGAGTATGCCAGCTCTTGTCAGTCTGCATATAGATCTAGGACTCAACAATTAAATGCTAATTAGTTTCTTAGTGTGTAAAACAATCATTTGTTTGGAATTAACTTATTAGCACCAGATCTTTAGCTGCTAGGGTATTGCATATGGGACGATTGATATATTGTGAAAACATAACTTATGAACGAAATATATTCAAAGACTTCTGTTTGAAGCCTTAACATCCGGCGAGAATAGAATAGAGAAATTCAGCTTTGTCTCATTTCGCTTTCAGAGAGTGTGGGTGTCGGTGGAGGTGGAGGTGAAGGTGGGCGTGTGTAAGGGTGGATAACGAGATCCTATACACCCACACCCTACCTCCCATTGGTATCTTCACACAATCAAAATAAAAAATGAGTCGCACAAGAATCTTCATCAGAGAAAACTAAACTTACGAATATCATTATTCAAGAGTGTTGCTCAATATAACGATAATGTAAAAAATAATCAACATCGAGAGATCAGACCATATATATCGAAAAGTTATTTTAAATATAATTTTTTTTTATGCTGCAAAGCCATGGATGAAGTCTATCCGACTTTTATGCAACTTAAGCCATGTGACCATCAGGATTACAAGGGTTTTAATGCTCGAGAGCTATTAATGAAACTGAAAACATTTTTTGCAAAAAGAAGTGGCGTCTTTTGTTCTATCATTCGATATTGTTGCAAGTAGATGCTTCTAGACCATCGATCTAATGAAACTAACGACCATCTAGTTCCTGTTTCAGGAGAAACCAAATCACACAGCTCAAAATAACTTTCAAGCTCAGAGATAACGCATAAAAATAAAATAAACTTTCATTATTTTTACAAACGCTGTTCTGATAGCCTTAGAGAAGCTTGGATTCATAGACAGATAAGAATAACCATTTAGAGATCAAAAACTATATATTATTATTTTGGGTTGATGTGTTTTTTTTTCTCANTTGCCAAAACGTGTACATTGGTCTTTGTTTCTGGCGAATTTTTTTCTGAGAATATGCTACTGATGCATAAAGGATGTTTCATAATAAGTAAGAATACAGTGTAAATGATATTTTTCATACTTTTGTTTGACCAAGAGAGTTGAAATTTTTATGACATATAGAACTAATCAGGATCTTTTAGTTCTGAAAGTTTCAGCTCTCTAGTTATGACGAATGGTAACATACATCGATCAACTTGAAATACATAAGTTTTTCTACTCGGTTTTGCCTAATTTTTTCAGTAAAAACCGAGTAGAAAAACTTATGTATTTCAATTTGATCGATGTATGTTACCATTCGTCATAACTAGAGAGCTGAAACTTTCAGAACTAAAAGGTCCTGATTAGTTCTATATGTCATAAAAATTTCAACTCTCTTGGTCAAACAAAAGTATGAAAAATATCATTTACACTGTATTCTTACTTATTATGAAACATCCTTTATGCATCAGTAGCATATTCTCAGAAAAAAATTCGCCAGAAACAAAGACCAATGTACACGTTTTGGCAAAACAAATTATGCTAAGTTGTAGTTCATTACAAGGGCTATCAGGATATATATAAATCTCAAAATGGAGTTTTTTTCGAAAAATTAACTTTTCTGAGGGGAGGCCCTTAAGAAAAAAGGAAGACAAAAACAAAAACAACTCGAGTCAATATTGGAAAGGTTTCAAAACGAAATGACATTTGATGAATAAGCTAATAGATCATCAAATTTTTACCAAGAAAGTTGGTTCCTAACTGTATATAAGGCATTACTTGTATGCCTTTCATTAGGACATTTCTGTATAATAGCATTGAGTTTGACCGAAAGGAACCGTTTTCGACATGTCTATATGGTAACTTCTTTTAACGCTTAAATCATTTAATTATTTTATTTTATATTTTAGTGATGATTCACTAAAATCTGTCACTGAAATCAATAAGCATGTACATCAATGGAAGTCAAATAAGGTCAGTACTAAATACTTCGCACAATTGTCTTGGCCGTTATACTCTGGTGAACTGAATAGTTTTAAAAGGCAGTCCTGTTCATATGACTTCATACCGTTGGCATTGCCGCAAGAAGTACATCTAAAAAAAGATCATAACAACACTGATTTGTGAGTCCTAGGAATACTGTTTCTCAGTAAAAGAAAACATTGATCACAACTCTTTCTTTACTCTTCAGGCATCGATTTAATTCGATATCCCGTCGTCAAACGGCGGAGCTTCAATTAAGAGCAATACTTAATGAACCCGAAATTTGTTTGCCAGTTTATGTTCGTAAAGCTACAAGTGTATTGGATGCAAGCAAAGTGTTATCGATGGATGAAGTTTCAAGACTACTCAATACTCCGGTATTTATTATCGAGCGAATGATAAATGCTCTAAAAACCTTGTCTACAAACGAAGAATTAACTCAATGGAATAGGACTGCAGTGCAAAAATTTATACAAATTCTTAACAGTACGATTAATGTGCGAGCTCTTGTCTTTTACACCATGCTCAATGGAAGCAATGATCAAAACGTAACTAGAGAAAACGTAGCTGATTTCTATGAAAACTATTTGAGTGCTATGAGATCTTTTGATAAAAAGCGTTCACCAAATGTTATTCAAATTCTTCTTCAAAGATATCATCTAGATGAAGTAAGTTCGTGCGTAATGTCAAACATAGATGAAGCTAAATTTTTCATTTCGTCATTTTCAGAAATCTCAAATAGATTTTGAAGAATTCTATTCCACTATCACAAACGATGAGACTTTATTGCAATCGTTTTCTCAATTTACTCTTCACCCAACATGGTTTCAAAACCACGATGTGTGCATATCGCGTCAAAGTGTTGTTCGACGATTTTTTGTAAAATTATCTCAACAAGAAAAGGTTTATGATGAACGGAAGAAAAAACTGACCCTTGACTATATTAAAGATAATCTTGCAAGAGTGATTATTATCATTCTTTATATTTTGGTAAATTTTGGATTAGTATTGTATGTTATTATTTATCGAGCAGTAATAAGTCAATCACATGTCTACGTGATATTTGCAAGAATTGGTGGCATGCTACTAAATTTCAATTGTTCATTTATTGTTGTGCTCATGTTGAAACAAACAATTCTACTCATTCGCACAAACAAAATTCTTCGAAACATATTACCTGTCGATGATCACATCGATTTTCACAAATTTATTGGCCGATTTATAGCTGTACTAGCCATACTTCATACAGTCGCTCATATGGCAAATTTCGGACGTGTTACTAGTTAGTCATTTTTTATGTGCAAATCACCCTTAATTTGAACATTTTTCGTCGGTTTTTTAGGCCAATATTCATGGGGTCATTACATGGTAAGATTCCAGTACATATTTTCATACTAATGACAAGTTTTTCCATCATTGTGATTCAGTTTTTGAAACTTATCATCGTTTGATGAATGCAATTTTACATACAAGAGTATTTTTCCCACGTCTAGTAAACACCTCTTCGAAGAAGACAATTCTATATAGGTATGCAACAAACCCAAACGTTTGGTGTTTGGATTTGTACTCTAGGTTTGGGTAAATGTTTGATTTTGGAGCTTTAGGTTTCGATTTGACCATCATTGATCCCAATTCCAAATGATTTGGTAAGATATGATGTTGAAAACAACAATCTACTGTACTACAGATGGAGTAGAAGCAAAAAACAAGGTTTTAGGATTTGATCTTAAACCGTTTGTATTTGTATTTGTATTTGGTCCCAGATGCCAAAATCTTTTTCTGATTCTACCCCACCACTAGTACAGTAGACTATTGTTAATGACAGCATATCTTACCAAATCTTTGGGTTTGGAACTAATGATGATCAAACCCAAACCAAATCCAAATCTAACCCTCCGAATCCAAACCTATGCTCAAATCTCGACTACAAATTCAAACTCGAATCCAAACATTACATACAAGTCCAAATCCATCTCAAGATCTGTTGCATCCGTAATTCTATATTAGAAATAATCTTCATTAAATAGTAATTTTCTAACTTCAATGAGTTTCTTTTGGCAGAAAGTCAAACAAACTCGTTGCGAAAATGGACTTCTTTGATTTAACATTCTCAGTGTTTTGATTTTCATACTTATAATTTCTCTATTTCATATCCAACTGTTTTTCTTCTTTACTGTCAACGAAGAACAGTACAATGTGAACCATCAAACATCATCAGACGTATGACATTTTAAAAATCTGATCATTTTTTTAGTTTCTTTTAAAAGAATTGTTGTCCAATGTTTTTGACAGATATCCATTAAAAAAAATGCACAACAGTTAATTATTTGATAAGCATATATCACGATTTGTAGGAGATTCTAACAACATCCTATCAAACCCCTTACTATGACCTCGGATGGAAGCGAAAGAAAGACTCCCTTTTCCTACCATACACTTGCATATCCATTAAGAACTGTGTTTGACAAAATAATTAGTATGATTTATTGTGCGAAACACAAAAAATTGCATGCACATGCAATCGGAACTTATAAGCAGAAATTTTGTGAAGATGGATTTTCAGACATTTGTTTGCATATTATGCCATAATTTAGTTCACAACGCATCCAAAAATTGGCTGGATACACGGAAGTGCATCAATAACAGGTATCATTCTGTGTGTTATTCTGGGAACTATGGTAGTTTGTTCGATGCGTTGGGTACGACGTGCTGGCCATTTTCAAGTAAGTATAGCTGATCGACTTTGTATGACTAACATATATGTCAAAGTACCTCTTATTTATTATAAGGTCTTTTATTGGACACATCTTCTATATTGTCCATTCTTCGTATGTTTGATTATTCATGCGTCTGGTTTTTGGGTTAGTTATGAGTTTTAAATAAATCAATCGTGCTATTTTTTCCCACTTTTAGAAATGGGTAATTGCTCCACTTACCGTCTTTGCACTAGAAAAGATTTATTCAATATTGAAACGATATTCGTCCAGTAGTGGTCGAACTTACTTGCTTTATGTTACTATTGAGCGATCAAATGTTATCAGTTTGACTATTTATCGACCAAAGAATTTCATGTAAATATTTTTCCCCAAAATAAACTATCAATATCTAGTCTTTTAATTGAGATTCGCATCGGGCGACTATATTTTGATTAATGTGCCCAGCATTGCTCTATATGAATTTCATCCATTCACAATCAGTACAGCTCCTGAGGAACAAAATTATCTTCGAGTACATATTCATGCCAAAGGTGATTGGACAAGACGGCTCTATCAATATTTCAAAGATATGTCCGATGAACTCGACGATAAAGCACCCATCAAAATCCATCGGAATGATTTAAATCCAGTAAGAGCAACTCTCGAAAAAAGAATGGAAGTAGTTGCACCTCTAGAAGATTCCCATGGTGATTGTTGCATACATCCCACGACTTTGTCACAAGTGGAGTCATCGATACAATCTAGTAAAAAACTAATTTTTATCAATGGACCCTATTCGTCATGTGCTCGATACATCTTCGATTGTAAACACGCCGTTCTTATCGGCAGTGGCATAGGAATCACACCATATGCATCGATTCTATCTAGTCTCATGGCCAGATTTCGAACGCTACGTACAGTTTGCAAACATTGCCAAGGCATCACTTATTATGGAAAAAATCGTTTGGAGAAGTATCATTTGGAAAAAGTTGATTTCATTTGGGTAAATCGTGATGTGAAGAGTTGCGAATGGTTTCTCAATCTTCTTCGTCAATTTGAAGTCGAACAAGATGAATATTTAGCATCGAACAGAGATGAACGTCATTTTTTAGATATTCACCTTTATTTTACAGGTATAAAACAAGAGGACAATATTGGTCAAGTTTTTCTTCATCATGTGATCAATGTATGGGCTGAAGAAGTCGGTGATGATATATTTACTGGATTGAAATCACGAACCCATTTTGGAAGACCAGATTGGAATGAATTATTTAAGAGACTCATATCGGATAACGAAGTTTCAGCAGCCAAGAATATGAATGTCTTTTTTTGTGGACCAAGCACCATGGGAAAAACTATAGAACAACATTGTATAAGGTTTGGAATGCATTTTTACAAAGAAAACTTTTAGTCTTCATTGTGATTTTAATTCTTACTGTAGAATTATAAATTCTGTCGTCATATATACATGATAAGCCTAAGCATGAGACGAATTTAGAAATATTCTAATAAACTACGAATTTATTTACTGCTGTTTTAATGATTCACTATATATTTAAGATAAAAATGCTTCTTCATAAACTAATACTGCATGTTCATTACTTGAACCGAAAGAAATAAAAATATATTTAACTAGAGAGTGTATTCAAATTTTCATTAGCTCCAGTGCAGTTTTTTAAACCTTTGGGTTTATATAACTACGGTGTTATTTGACCATTACATTCACATGGAGCAACCTGATATTTCATCGGAATAAAACCTCATCAGTCGAAAATGATCGATTAAAGTAGAATAATGCTGCTTCTCAGTATCCATCCGAGTTGATGACAAACATGGTATCTCACTCTATCATGAGCTATGGGTGTATGGGTATGAGCCTTTTTTTTCATTTATCTAAACACACAACTGCAGTCAAATCCCACACCAAATATGCATAGCGACATTAGATCGCAAAACGTAACTCTCACTCAGAGAGTCATCAACTAAAAGGAATAGAATCCGATCTAATTTTTGATTGGTGAGTGAATATAGACAAACGTATAGGAAAAGTAATTGATCGAACTATCATCTTCTTCATAACATTGTGATGTTATGGGCAGTGATCGAACGATCTTCGATGAATTGTTTCACATTAGAGGTTGAAAAATATTCTGACTAAACTGAAATTAAATTAGTTTTCACAAAACAAACACGAATTGAATCAGGCTATGAGCTTATGTGTCATTCAACAGATAATATTTACAATCACACCCATAGCACTGCACGTACATCCTTTGAAATCGTTTTTACGTCTGATTGACAATGAAAAACAATCTTCTATGTTAAATAAATTATGGACTCAGCCAATCTATTGTGTATCACAATTGACATGAAAGTAGCCTCGTTTGGGTTCTCGAACCTAGCCAATTTTCGATGTGCTTTCCAGAAGCACATCTTTTGAGAAATAATTTCGATACAACATAAGAATTTCGCTCAAAAATTATGTTTTGGAAGCGTCTTACTGGTCGAGACGAATGATTTACACGGCTGAAATTTTTAATATTCATAGAACCTAATGAATTCTGGCTTCTATGAAAATGTTGGACTTCTATCTTTTCTTAGTTGTAAGATATGAAGCTCTGAACTTGTCTAGATTGTGTAGATTCGCGCATATTAGACGAGTCATAAAAACTGAGTGGCTCAATATTCCGAGGTAAAAATTATATCTAGAGTGCAACTTGTAAAGTCCTATGTTTAGAAAAAGATTCAGGTTAATCGATGGAGCTATTCTTTACATGTAGTTCTTTCAAAATCCTTCAGTTGCAACGCTTATTGTTAAGACTTTTCATTAAATGTCCATGCAAAATCGACGTTTCAAATTTTGCCTCTATGGCATATATCAAATTGAGCAGGATTCATTGACCTTAGTTCAGGACGTTCGATTGTGACTTACAAAGATAACTCAAATTATCAATAAAATCTTTGCTTTTGAGCTTTATATTGATTCCTAGTTCTCTAAACGACGATGAAGCATAAAAAGAATGATAAACTCAAAATCGTAAGATACGATGTTAAATATACAACAAGATGAATCAACTCACTCCGCTATTGCAAGGCTATGTGTTTTATTTTTGGGTTTCCCGCTTTTCTTCCTTCAAGAACAAGTGCATCCATCGACAAGACGGTGTGTCTACAAGGAACGTCTCACCTATTATTGATCTTCGGATCTTCATAACTCAATCACTTGAGACAGCAAAGAACTGCAATATATAGAACAACAAAATTTATAAAAGTTTCAGTTTCAGTAAAATTTTCAATTTTTTCGCTTGAACTATGATGATTCTAGAAGAAAAGAAAGTCGTCGTAATATAATCATCTGAGAGAGTCCTACCAAGAGAGCTATCGAAAGAAGTTCACATTCTTAAAAATCGTTTTGGTCTAGAAAAAAATGTTGTTATACATGTTAGAAGCCAAGACAATGAGCCTGATCATGGTAATTTTTTTTCAGATGTTTGCTTCTACAAATAATAATCACAAAAACATGGGATTGATGCATTCATCTATTCTTTTGAGTTCCGTATAAAATGTTACTCTTTATATTTCTCATAACGAAATAAAATGATCTATTGATGCCAAATTCCAGAGAAGACAGTTATATCCATATTTTGTGTTTTTTGAACAAAAAACTGAGTTTTTTAATCAAATTTGATGCATTTTTTTAATGGTTTCCAAAAACTTATAAAAACCTCATGTTTTCGTTGATTTTCCTGCTTTTCCATTTTTCCTCACTTTTCTGTTTCACTTACGAGGGAACCTTTTCAGATGATACCCTCCGTTTTGATTCGTTCGTATTTCATTTAATCGAGTATATTGAGGTAGTAAAAAGCCTAAAGGGATTTTTCCCCAATGTTCTTCCTTCAAAAGTTACGGTCGTTTTATTGAATTTTCGACCCATTCCCAGGTATTTACGAAAAAATCAAAATAGGGAATTTCGACTTGATATTTCGCCCATAGATAGGCCTAATGGTCCTTAGAATATGCTGAAAGTTTCAGCTAAAAAGAATGTTCCTTTCTTGAGATATTGAATTTTCAAAAAATAGTCGCCTGCCACAGATTGGTCACAAAAACCGANTACCATTCAACACCTCACCACTTAGCATGATTTGATCCATAGATTTCGTACTACATATCCCGTCGATAACTTGTGTCACGTGCTTTTTATAATTATTGACATTGAATACATATGAAAACAGTGGAAAACAGTATAAATACAAATATGCCATGTACATGAACAATAAGAGCAAATCTGTTGCAATCAATATTTATCGTTAAATCAACTATAATCGTTTGTTAGTAATGTTTGCAAATGCATCTAATCTAGGACCATTTCTAAGGGTATTAGAAATATAGGACGACTATGAAGTCTGCCTATCAAATGAGCAGGGCTTGTAATAGTTTGAGGGAATGATAGTGTTTCATCGAACGAATAGGGTGTGGGCGAGTGTGAGTGTGTTTATATAAATATTTTTTGAATCAAAAGGCGCCTGAATCGCAACAGTCGAACGCGTATAGACGCCGCTCACATGAAACATTTCTTGCGTCCAGACGCGCTCGACTCGATATTTGAAATTTTCAAAAATATATTACAGTCCGACTCACGTTGGATCTGATTATCTAACTATAGGCCAACAGGGGATAGCGGGTGTGGATAGTGTAAATGTTGGTGTAGGGTACGCAGGTGTGGGTGTTGAAGAATAGAAGATCCGCACGGAAACCCGTACCAACATCCTTCTTGTTTCATACATATTCTAAAACCCCCATGGTGTTGGGCTGAAATTTTTGTCGTAGCCTTTCCAGTACGCCCGAAACATATTCTAAAAATTTCATGTGATTTAAATTTACTTGACTCAAAGTTAATTATGGGAGAAGGTCAGTATTAACAATTAAATAACTCGTTTTCTCTTAATGTTAACGGATCAAGTAATGTCTGCCGTCCGCATTTTTATTAACATTAATCTTGAAGTAAAACTACTTAAGGTTAACGCTAATTAAGTATCGTTAAAAAATTATTCATTGCAACTTTTACGTTTCTTTCAGCAAATTTCGATTCACTCAAGAATTCAGCAAAAAAGGAGATGTAATTGTTACAAAAGTGAAACGTTCTGTTTTGCCTCAACAATAAACATTGTATAGGAGAGTATAAAGTCTAGACGTAGTGATGTTCTTTGCAAAATCAATCGTACAGTGAGTTGTAAATGTAAGTGGATTTGCAGAACAACAAAGACAGGTTAGTCGTGTTTCTGATTGGTAGACATCTATTTGTATTTTAGATGAGACAAGGATAAAGATGAGTCTAGTGGAAACATTTTTCGGCTGAAAAAACTTGTGATGATTTTACACGAATCCACTTTGATTTCGAAACGTTAATTAGGATTCATCGATTTGTATGATACCTTATATGGTAAAGTTGCATGAAAACTCATAAGTTCTGTAGTATACCTTTGTTTTTCAGTGTATATGTAGAATAATAAACACTCCACATCGAAGCGAACAGTTATATACCTTTGTGTTGAAAATAATAAATCCTTAAGTATATGTCGTATGCCTTTTTCACCTTCATATATTCGAATTATTATCAATCCTTCGGCTCAGAAACTCTTGAAGAACATATAACATCGGTTTAAACCCTTTAAGAGTTGATGAAAAATTTTTACAAGCGCAATGGTTGATTATTCCACGTTTCTTTATCAAAGTGGAAGCAAACAATCAGCCGTATACTTTCATGACGCCCCACAGCCAATCACTACAACCAACATCCTTTATGTTCGTTTACATAGGAGAATTCACCTGTATTATCGTGTGAAAACATTCGTTTTGAGATGAAAACAATACTGCTGTATTCATTTAATCATTGTAATTATCTGTATATTTCTTATCTAATTTCTGAAAACATAAATTAGATATTAATATGTCATTTAAAAATCTGTAGTTGTTAAATTGAAAAAAAAGGGTAGGTGCGAACTTGTGCGCTCTATTAAGCCGCACTGACGCTGACATATTAGAATCCCATAGCTTCGAATTATGACATCCTCTCAGTGTCATCAAATGTATGCAACGTTGTTCACACTCGACGAGACACATCTCTACGCCAAAATATAGTGTTAGCGAACTAACGTGTCAGATCTTTCTGACCAAGTCAGAGCTCCACGGGACGAGACAAAATCAATTCAGTTGTGCGTTCTGCCAGGTATGTACGAGGCAGGGTTGTGGGTACTTTGGAAAAAATAAAGAAAGTTTACAGAATCTTTTAGGCTTCTAAAAGATTGTTGTGTTTTATCCGACAGTCGTAGCTATGAAAAAAGGTGTTGGTCATGAAAAAAAAATGTTTCGACGAGGCTGTCAGAACCATTTTTTTGGCCAGAACCTGTTTTCAGAGGTTCGCCTTTCGGGTCAAAGACAGAACTTTTTAGAAGCCCAAAAGGCTCTGCAAACCTTCTTTATTTTTTTCTGAGCACAGACATCTCCACCATGAAAAACGTCAACAATATACTTTTCTTTACATCAACTACTGGATGAGGAGCATTTAAACTTGTACTTCTTATTGAACTTTTTATTGGTTTTTTATGATAAAAATATTTTCATGTAAATATTATTTTGAATCAGAGCAATAGTAAAATAAATGATATACATTGAAGAAGACAGCATAAATTCACAGGACTTTTGCCAATTGTACTTCGAGAAAGAAGAGTTACGTCCACGTGATGGAATGAGACGAGATGGGACGATTTTTGGATCGTCTCACGAAGCTCTAGTGCAAACCATAGTATTTTTGAAATAGTTTGTTGCCGATCATCGAGATTCATTTTATCATTTTTTTAGCAATCATTACGGTTTTGGAACTGTTTCTTATCTTTTACTCATAGGTTGGTTTTTAGGACTGACTTACTGGTCATACCATATTTTTCATAACTTCCATAATTTTGTTTCTCGGCTAAATCGCCTTGAACAAAGATGATATTAGCAGAAGTTGTAGTATTAGACGTGAAGACCAAGTTACATTATAAAGCCTGATGTGGAAATCCTCAGATCAGCCCAGGGATGAGCTCAAAGGTGATGTAATACTTGTTCTTCTCTACGCATCAAAATCTATACTCATACTCTCATCAATAACATAGCCTAGATTCAAACTTGTTGTCACTCTCTGACAAGTATTTGGCTACTGCTACATTTTTCACAAAATATCAATACTGCTTTGCATGTTTTATTCTTTTTCTCTATGCAGTTTGTCACAAGAATTGGTGCTCACTCTATGAAAAACGACTAAAAATGAAAACAGTTGACAGCTAGAACATGTTTTTGATTTATAATATAAGAAGAAAAACACAGTAATATATTCTTTAATATAATATCCAATGAAAAAAACATCAGCTTGTAATATGAAACACGTCCACAAAAAACTACTTTATTTTGCTATTTGCTTCTCGCGATTCAAAATCGACTATATTTTATTACAGACAAGTGTCGATGAAATAGCATTGTTTGCTTGCGTGACAGTTTTTGATATTCTTTCAAAACATTTTATCAAATATTATTATTCACTAAAGTAAATATGGTTTCATATTTTTATGTAGGTTGTGGCAGCATCAGAAGAATATGAAAAAATATTGATAAGAAGTAATCAGAGATCTTTAGATTAAAGAACTGACAAGTGTGTAAAAAGAAACTCAGTTTTACACGGCACAGTGTTCATAAAATAAATCATTGAAAATGAACCGCAAAGCATGCATCATCATTACCATCATTGTTACCTGCTTAATAATTTGTATAGTAGTTCTTGCTTTGTTGTTGAAATTCGTCATTCTTAAACCAAATGAATCGAACACAAATGCCACCGAAACATCAACAATAATGACAACAACAACAACAACAACAATAATAATAACAATAAGTACTACAACTACGACGACGACTACTTCGACTACTTTCACTACTACTTTCACTACTACTACTACAACCGCCACTACTACTACAACCGCCACTACTACTACTACTCCTACTGCAACAACTACTACCACAATCACAGCAGTAAATAGCACAAGCATTCCACCAAGTAAATTTCCGAAGAATGTTCACTACAATCATATTTTATGTTTTATTTAGGTAAATCACAAGGTTGCTTTGCATCAAACGTCACTGTACGTCTAGCTAATGGACACTTGAAACAAATGAGCGATCTTTGTGTAGGAGATTTAGTCTTTGTCAAAAGGGAAAATCAAGTTATAACAAGTCCGGTCTTAGCTATTTTTCGGCATGATAGAAGTTCAATTCGTTTTGTCGACATTTATACAACGGACTCTATTATCCCTCTTCGTTTGACACCATTACATTCATTATTGGTTCGTCAGAAACATGATAAACATGAACGTTACTTCTTTGCAAAAGATGTATCAGTTGGTAGTCATGTTTTCTCATCAGATTTACGTGCATTGACAGTCATCGATGTAAAAGAAATTTTAATTTCTGATGATAGTGGCTATGCTTTATTGACATTTGAAGGTAATATTATTGCTAATGACATTGTAGCTTCGTGTTATGCAACTTACGATCATTCAACAATGCATATGATTACTACGCCTATGCGATGGTGGTTTCTCATTCTATTTCAATTACACCAATTTATCGCATTTGATTATTTGCAACAGTTGACAAGCAATATTATTGTTTCTTTCGTTGATTTCTACCTTCAATCAATTTATTAAAATGATATTCATATGTAACACAGACGAAAAAAACTTTATTCACGAATATAGAACAATAAACTTTCATTCAACACGACTTTTTTTGAAAAAAGAAGTTTCCTCTCACTTTAATAACTAATGAGATAAACGAATGCATCACGTTTTCATTTTTCATACATCACTACTAATCACAGGAATTTATTTTTTAAAGACTTATTTTAAAAATAAAAATTGTATACACTCAATACTTCTTAAAAGGTCACTTATTGTCTATTGCGCTCAAACAAACAAAGTTTATCTTTCTAACAAAAAAAAATTAATAACGTTAAAAAAACAACAGTGAAAAAAGATCGAATCTGACATACATCTGTGCTTCTCCTTGAAATCATCGGAAATAACTTGTTCTGTACTGCGAGTAATCTTTATAGTTGACATTGTTTTTAGAAAAATACTTAATGATATCATTCTTTCTACGTTTATATTTAAAATGATTATAAAATTTAATCAATATATTTAGAGTTTGAATGATGATTTTGTTGTTCATCAAAGATGTTTTTTTTGTGTTTAAATACTTGCACAGAAAAAATAATACTTTTCAAAAAGAATCGTTTTGAATTGATATACAAAGCATAAAAAAAATGGGATTTTTAAAAATTTTGAACATAGAATTTTCATTTGATGCTATAAGTTTGACTCATATTCAGTGAAAAAATGATGCAATGCACCATGAGATAATGTTCATTTATGCCTTACTTCTATGATGCAATTTAGGAAGAAAGGAAAAAAAAAATAAAAGAATTCCATCGTCTCGCCCATATTTGTTAATCAAAATTCCATTTCCAGCCCACTATGAGCATGAACCCTTTTAGGGTTTTCTTAATTTCATTGAGCTCTACCTATCGCCAAAAAAAAAAAGGATCGAATGAAGTTTAACAGGCGGATATGTTCTCGTATCAGCACATAGAATATAGGGATCAAATCCAACTATCAATTTATAAAATAACTTCATTTGTATATTGTCGATTTCATTGACTATGTCTATAAAAACTATTCAAATTGTTGATATGTTCAATTTGAGCTAAACTATTGAATATTAATTTATCGTACATCTTTCATATGTCTTCTATCTATAACAAACATATTTTTATTTTTATAGAACAGGAATAAAATCTGCAAATAGATTTATTCAAATATCAATATAATCTTTCGGTAAATAATGCTTTTAATGCAAAACAAATATGCACTACCAAAACTAAGAAGATAACAATAGCCACAGAATATCCTCTTTTAAATACTTAGTTAAATTAGTGAACAAAAAAAACCCACACGAACATGCACACCTATTCCTATATATATGTTCGATATTGCTATTGATTTCGTTTGCACAGTAATATGCCGTTTAGAAATTGTATTGACATTGAATTATGACTATAATTTATTTACGAAATTATTTGAATGCTAAGTGAAAATAATTGAACTCTCAGTGAATTTAAAGTTTCTCAGTAATAAAAATATTTGCTAAGTTTGATAATTACTATAGAAGTATAATATTTTTTGTTAAGTTAATGAATTGAAATTAAAGTTATAAAACAAAATGAATAAGTAAAGATTATTACTACTAAGTAATTTCCAATAAAAAGAAAAACAAAGTATGATTATCTAAGATAAGATAAAGTTTTTTTAACGGTGATATGACATACAAATTTTCTTTCTCTTGCCTTCCTTCTGTTAGTATTGAAGCAGTACTGTGATATATGTATGATTCACCTATATTTTATTTCATTCTAATGTCATGTTTTGTTTTTATTTTTGTTTTGACTTGAATTTTTTTTTCTTATGCGATTTGAAGAGTTCTATCTAATCATCATCAAAAAAACTCTTCGAGAATTTTGAATTGCAAGTGCCTTACATGTAATGTAAATGCATTAAAATTTGAATATTTCGATCCGTGAATGACAAGGGCAGCCTATATATTAATTTGTTAGCTTGGTGATGAAAGCTCTGCTTTGACCCATATACGACTAATCTTATTAACTAACAACATAGATTCTTTCATTGCCATACAACAGTTTTCGTTCCACTTGCTAGAGTTTTTATGATGAAAAATGACGAATGATGCGATATATGGAAATAAATTGCCTTTTCTTCTAACGAAATTTGAATAAATCAAATAGAAAATATGTTTGTTCCTTAAAGTTCTTTTTTCTTACTTTAGTGTATCAGTATTTAATAATGTTAATAATCTGAGGTATATTCAGATTTCCAAAATGATGTAAATTTTCTAGATACCATGAAAAATCATCAAACGTTAAGATAAGAAAATTCCTGGTGAATTTCCAAAAACTATCGAAATTTATCATGAAAGCGTAAATAAATTTAACACATGTTTTGAGAATTACTCAAATAAGACTAGGAAATTCATGAAAAACTAGAAAGCAATTTGCAAATGATTCCCATTCTTCGAAAAGGAAACTTGACTCACACTACCGACATCCTATAGTGAACAAGTTGTGTTTATCCTGTCTCTGTGCAAGATTAACATAACTATTATACAGATCTCATTAGAGGCGTTAAATAGTTTTAAAAATATTGTTTCGGTTGCGATATGACAATATTGAAGATAAACAAACAAAATTGAAATGATCCAGGTAGTCTCACGGTATAGATTTTTTGTACTAATAGATACAATAGCAATAGTAAGACCATGCGTATTTTGTATTTTTCGCAGAAAATTTTATTAGAAAAATGATCGAACAATACTATGCTTCTCTAGCACTAACAACTATGTAGAGATTTGTTTTCTATCATTGCACAAATACAAGAACATATTCAGAGAATGTATTGAGTGGGCTCTTTCTCATAATGTACAATGAAGTTTATTTTATCTAAGGATTCTGACCCACAGACTCATTTTCTGACACTAGATCTAAAACAAATAAAATTTTTTCATCTGAATTGAGACTCGTTGCAAATTAAATAAATTCATGCTGTTTTTCGTATGAACTACCGAAATTAGTGTATTAAGGTTTTCACGTTCGTATTATAATTTTGATTATAATAAAAGATTTGTTTAATGAGAGTCTTCGCAAATCTTCGTTGAAATCAAAAGTTTCATGATACAGCAGATGAAGTTTGCTCAAAACTTGCTAAATTAATCAGTATTTGTAGTTTAGGATTCTGAAAACTCTGCATAGATTTTACACGTTTTGACTTTGCTCTAGTGATGAGCGTTTTGTCATATATTTCAATCATTGAATCTGTTTTTTAAAAAAGTGCTGAGCAAATACGAATTTATTTTAATAAAAGCTTAACTAATGTAGTATTTTTGTCACAATTACCACACATTATTTTGTTTAGCAATGCATGAAATTATCGCATTTCAAACAATAATAATAATAATAATAATACTAATAATAACACATATATGATCTCAGACGTGTTCTGATTATTTTCTTTTTAGTAACTCGATGAAATGACTCACAGTGACCATGATAAATTGTGTTGCAAGTTGTGCAACTTTCTATGACGTAGAGAACAGAACAGGCAAAATCAACTAATAGCTTCTTTCTTTTCTCCGTCACATGCTCGTACTCACAGTCGATGTGTTGTAGTCAACGAACATACGTGTTTTTGAAGGTTTATTTTTAAAAGAAAAAAAAACACAGTAAGGAAGTGAATTGTGTGCTGCAGAAACACGATCGAGACTTTTTTTCATATGTACGTTCTATTGCGAATTTCTTTCCAAGGGTAAATTGTACTACGATGTTAATTCTTCTTCGTTTTCTGTATATATGCAAATTCTAAATTAGAATAGCTTACAAAAACATTTGTCTCGATTACAGTTAAATTCCAAACGTCATTGTATATTGGATCTACTATTTTCAAAAGTAGTTTAGGAACAGATCTAAGTAAATTCCATTTCTTATTATTCATGTGTCTTTTAAATATACATATATAGACACATTTCTTTTTTTTAGATGGCTAATTTTACTTGAATACTCTAATCTGACCGTTTCACAACTATTTTTTATGATGACTGGTAATCCAAGATTATTTTCAATAGATCATGATAGTAGATACTATCGAACATCGAATTTCGACGCAAACCGACCACTACTACTCAAGTNATAATAATTCTAAAGATAATCTCTTACTTCTATGTTTAACCGATGATTTTTATCCTTAACCCCTTATTCCTAGGTCGAACGTTTTAATTCTATTTGAACTCTCATTTCTATTCTTAATCCCTTATTTGTATGTTTAATCCATTTTCTCTTTATCTAATTCTTAATCTCTATGTTAACCTCTATAGGTTTCTCTAAACCATTATGTCTGACACATCTTGAATCTATATCTAATTTCGTATGCCTATGCCTAATTTCTTTCTGTATACCTGATCTCAAATATACGTACGCTGTAAAAAATGAGCGCAGAATAATAAACTCTCAAAAAGGGTTTATGAACACGGCATACACCCTTTTTAGGTTTATGAACGTAATTTACCCTCTCATAAACCCTTTTTTTTCATAAACCTTGGTAAGGGTTTGTTATACGTTGCAAACTCATATACGCTTGTCCTGTTTTCTGTGTTCATAAATCCTTTTTGAGTATACGAACGCAATAAATCCTTAGACAAAGGGTTTATTATTCTACGGTTGTCTTTAAAATGTAGCATAACAAACCCTTTGTCTAAGAATTTATTGCGTTCATATACTCAACAAGGGTTTATGAACACAGAAAACAGTGCAAGGGTATATGACTTTGCAACGTATAACAAACCCTTACCAAGGTTTATGAAAAAAATAGCGTTTATGAGAGGATAGATTACGTCCATAAACCTAAAAAGGGTTTATGCCGTGGTCATACACTCTTTTTGAAGGTTTATTATTCTACGACCATTTTTTACAGTGTAGTCATTCGAATACATCATGTTTTTTTCTTTTCAACGTACACATTGGCAAGCAACGAAGTCACCAATTACTGCTTTTACTTGCTCTTGTATTTGACAGCTAAAAGGGTAA